AGGAAAGTTATGTTTTAATAATCATGTGTTTGTGTGTGTCAACTTGACAAGGATTTAATTGTGCTGGCTACTTTTATATAAACTTGACACAAATTAGAGTCACTTTGGAAGAGGGGACCTCAGTCGAGAAAATGTTCCCACCAGACTGGCCTTGTGGGTTGGCCTGTAGGGCATGTTCTTGATTAATGGTAGACGCAGTTGACTCCAGCGCATTGTGGGTAGGACCACTTCTGAGCTGGTGACCCTGGGTGCTATAAGGAAACAGGATAAATAAGCCACGAGGAGCAAACCATTGAGCAGCACTCCTCCATGGCCTCTGTACCAGTTCCTGCCCTGACTTCCCTCAGTGATGGAGTATGACCTGAGAGTTGTAAGCTGACGTAAACTCTTTCTTTCCCAAGCTACTTTGGTCATGGTGCTCTTGTCACAGCAATCGAAATCCCAGCGAAGACACCAATAGATGTCTGCTTTGCAAGCTTTGCTTTGGGATCTGGTTTCCAAGGAATGCAAACAAGATCATATTTGTGCACATTATCTTTTTGTTTTAATTTGTGCGTATTATTTTTTTCAAATGGCTACTGAAGTTAGGACACAAATGCCTGTTAAACTTCTGTCACCGAGGTACCTAATAACACATGGTTAGGTTCGTCATAAATGTTGACTTAGAGGTGTCAGGAGAAATGCTCACTAAGATGCCTTGGTGGAGTGAACTGTGAAGGTCTGTGGCTTCCTCCTGCAGAGGTCCAGCCAGGGTAGGGTCCAGAGGTGTGAGGAGGCTCAGCCTGGGTGAGGGACAGGTGGTTGGGGTGCTGCATAGAAGACAAGCAATCTTAGGGAGACCTGCATGGCCTTAGAGACTTCGTGAAGACTCCAGGCATCAATTTGTGGACTATGATACACACAGCTCCAGAAAAATCTTCCCTCTCCACTTTCCACCCACCTTCCCCCTCCCTCCCCACCCCTTCCCTCCTCACCTCTCACTGCTCACTCTCGCCTGCCTCGGGTATTTAGTTATAGTAATTTCCCTCCTTTCTTATTCTTTCCTTCTGTCTCTCACATACACGTGTTAAAAGCGTTATTACTCTTTGATCTATAAATAAATGAGATCTTCACTATATGCACGCTTGTGCAACTATTTATTTTTATTTTTATTTACAAAACATGATCCTGTGTTATTACATGAAAATTCCTGCATACCTAGCTCAGGAATAATAGCTGCATTGTCATCTGCCTTGCAGCTTTATAGGCTGGTAAATTTCTAGTCCCAGCACCTTCTCAACTGACTTAGAACGAAGTAAACACTTGACTTTTTTTTTTCTGTTTTAAAACCCCACCCTCCCATGCCCCTTCCAAAATCGAGCCTTGGGCCAGTGAGATGGCTCCAGAGATTGCTGCCAAGACTGAGCTTGATTCCTGGAACCCACAAGGTGGAAGGAGAGAATGGACTCCCCCTGTGGTATACATGAGCATGTACACACACACACACACACACACACACACACACACACACACACACGAACATAAAATAATGTAAAAGGAGGACCAAGTTGAAGGGCAATAATAATAGAAAGGTAAGTTATGGGGTGGGGTCCAAGGATAGGCTTACGGTTCATCTGGGATTCAGAAACCTGTGTTTCCATGTACCAAGTGATGTTCATCTTCTGTTGGAAACTGTGTTACTCGGAATCATACATGTTTTCAAACAGAGTGTCCCTTTCTATGATTGGAATGCTTCTGGTCCATGTTGAGGAATTCCAAGCCTCAGTAAATAAAAGGGAAAAAATGAAACTGAATGAAAAATTCCAAATTTGTTTAGTATAGTATCAGGGGAAGTAAGTGGTCTAAAATGACCACTGATCTTTCCAGTAACTTCTCAGAAGGTCCTCCCATAGCAGAATTTGGTTTTCTTATGCTTTGGCTATCTGTGCCTCCCAGGCGTCTCTCTGTCTTAATTTAGGGTACATATGCACAGTCCAAGATTTAAAAACTCATTTTCTTTTGTTTAGCGCCCACAGAAACACTCTTTAAATATGCAAACATGAGCCCTAATAGGTCGGGCAGGCTTTTCTATTAGCCTGGGAGACAGAATGTCGCCTGTTAGTACATATTGATTGAATTATACGAAATCTCAAGAATCTAGCTAGGTTTGCTCAACTTTGCTTGAGCTCCTCTGCTTTGCTTTATAGCTTTCTTTTTTTCTGGATGTAAGCTCACTTTGATATATCTCAATAATCTCTTTCCAAGCACGAATATGTATGTTGTGTGTACGTGTATATAGATCCTAGTTTTACTATTATGGTAGCATGGTGAACATTTTACTTGACTCTTATTTTCTTTTTTAGTTGACACTATTATTGTTGAGATCATTTTGTAATGACATAATTTCCCCCATTTCTCCAAATGGCTCAGAAGAATTTCATTCCTCATAGGTAATTAGTCATATATTAATGTTAATGTAGAATTACTACATTATTTCCACTCTTAAGTATTCTGAGAATCCCTACTAAAAAACCAGAAGGACCATTTCTAGGAGTGGATTGTTGGGTTAGGAAGTGCTTTTTGTTTTCTCTTGTTGTTTTTATTTTTAGAGAAATGGTCTTGCTGTAAGTCTGGCTGCTGGGAACCTGCTACATAAACCAGGCTAACCTATACCTTTTAGACATCCTCCTGCCTCTCCCTAGTGAGTGCTGGGATTGCACGTGTGAGCCACCACACCCATCTCAGGTAATACGTTTCATATATTGATAGATGCTGGTAAATTTCCTCAGTTTACCTACCCACCATGTTCACCAACACCGTCTATCAGCAAATCATTCTAACAAGTGGCATTTTGTACTAGAAACATGTGTTTCTCTGACAGAAAGTCAATTTGAGTGTATTTTGCATGTTCAAAACCAAATATACTTCTTTTCGAGAATCAATGACAGCATTTGATATGCATGCCTGTCACACACTGCATGATCTGCCTGCTAACAGAGGATACAATATAGCCTCAACACACACTTGGGAGAGGCTGACAAGAAACAGTTACTGTGCTCCAAGCTTGACTAGATGGGAGCCTGTTGATGTACGCTCAGCACTTTCTAGAAGGTCATCAAATGGAGGCTTCTGGGTGAGACAGACGTGTACACTAAGAGCTGAGGGAGGCGAAGGATATTGGAGCTAGCAAAGGAGACGGCAGGCTGTGGCGTGCAAGCATGGGGATTGAAAGAGCAGGAAGCAGATGAAACTTGCGCATAAGCCAGCTCTGGGTGAAACTGTGATGACAGTGTGAAGGGGAAGTCACCAAGTCCTCCACCATGCACTCGTGTGGCCTTGAAAGCTCAGCTGCATACCCCAAGAACAATGTGACCTTTACCCCAAGGATGGTACTCCTTTAGGGATGTTTAAAAGTAGAAGGGTGACGTGGCAAGAATTGTTTGGGGACGATATGGCTACTGAGGATGGGGTCCAGGAATTTAGGGCGGTTGACATTTAATCTAGATGTGTGTGGATCTTGCCATAAATGTGATTAAAGGTCCCTTCTGAAGAGGGGCTGCACTATTCCAGGGAGGTAGGAAGTAGCCTGAGTGTGAAGAAAGTTATTCAAAAGGTGCTAGGGAAATACAGGTGTGTGTGTGTGTGTGTGTGTGTGTGTGTGTGTGTGTGTGTGTGTGTGTAGTGCTGATCCCCAACAGGTATTCTTTCTTCATTTCTTCTGTCGTATATAATGTATGTGTGAGAGGAGTTGGAGACTTTGAAAGCTGGAAGAGATTTGAGATACCTTTGCTCAAGCTCCTAATTTTAGCAGTGGCAAAAGAAAGGCAGAGAAATCTTAAGAATGTGTTTCTGCCCAGGCAAAGTCAGACGGCGACTGCTCTCCCGTCCGTCTTTACTAGCACGTACATCTACGTATGTAGTTTGGTTACACACACCTACTGCTGAGTATAGATTTTTCTTGCATTTGCTGACAGCAGAAATTTCTTGGGTGACAAACCTCTAATTTAGAAAATGATCTGTCTTTAAACACTTTGCAGCCCTTCGTTCAAATTGCACAGACTTCAATAATCTTAGAATCAAAAACAGAGGTGGGGGGGGAGGAGAGAGAGAGAAACAAGAGCAGACGTTAAATTCCTACAGCGCAGTTGTTTTCAGCCTTGGGCTCTGAACTGGTAGAAGCCCCTTTCTGTGCAAGCCGCCCCTCTCCTCCTCTTGGGAGCCCACAGGAGGCATCTCAGGTCCTCACTTCTGCCTCGGGGATGCTCTCAGCCTTCCGCTTCACCGAGGATCCCGTGATCCGATTCAATCTAATTAACAGCTGTTTAGGGAGCTTCTCAGCTTTTGGAAGGCATCAAGCGAGGATCTGGGCGAGGGCGTTCGTGGATGAAGATGTCCCAACCCTTTTCTTGAAAAGAAGCAGCTGGCGCTTAAATCTAACCCCCTCTATAATTCACATGGTTAACGAATTCCCCCGGAGGTTCCTACCAATAATGCTCCAGATACATTCCCCCGAAGGTCCCCCACGTCTGGAGGTTATTGCCTGGAACCAGCTCTGATGCTGCAAGGAGGTGACGGAGAAAATGTTGCCTCTGGAATCTGGCATCAGTGGATTGGGACCAAGCCGTGCCCAGCAGCTCACCAGCCACTGACAGGGCAGAGTAGCTCCTGGGTCCGGGTCTGCTTCCCTTGTGCGCTAACCAGGGCGCGGTAGGCTTGTCTCCAAGTTTCCCAGGACACTCTCCTTTCCTAAGGACCAGTGTTCGTCCCCAGCGTCCCAAGCCCCACGGTTCCCCATCCCTTCCCCTCTCTGCTCCACTGGGGTCTGTTGCCTGCAGGCAGAGTTCAAGTTCAGCCCCGGCTTTTGCTCTGGATTTAGAAAAAGGAGAAGGGGGTGGGAGAATTGGAGGGAGCCGGCTAGTCGGGCGAGGCCGAGGAGAGGCGGAGAGAGGTGGCCTCTGATTGGTTGGGGAGGGGGAGTGGAGGCACGGAGTTTCCCACAATGCCCCGGTGCGGTGCAGCCGCGGATGGATGCTGCGGGAAGGGGCTGCCATTTGCTGCCCCTGCCAGCGGCGCGCGGACCTGCCCGCGCTCCCGCCGCCTCCAGCGCCCTCAGCCCGCCCGGCCTTTGCAGCGGCACCGCCTCGGCTTCCTCCGCGGCCGCCGGAGCGGTCGCCATGAACCCCAGCTCCTCGGCGGGAGAGGAGAAAGGGGCGACGGGCGGCAGCAGCAGTAGCGGAAGCGGCGCCGGGAGCTGCTGCCTAGGCGCCGAGGGCGGTGTGGACCCGCGGGGTGCAGGGGCAGCCGCCGCCGCTGCCCTGGAGGAGCCCGCGGCCGCCGCACAGAAGGAGAAGGAAGAGGCGCTGGAGGAGAAGCTGAGGGACTTAACTTTCCGGAAGCAGGTCTCTTACAGGTAGGCGCGGGAGCCAGCAAGACAGGTGCCGCCCAGGGCGGGGGACACTTGCTCTCGCTCCGGAAAGGTACTTCTGTGGAGTTAGGGCGCGCTGTCTCTGTGCCTCCATCTCTTTCTCTCTCCCCAACTCTCGCCGTCTCTGCCTCTCCCCCTCCCTCTCTCCGTCTCTGAATCTCTGTCTCTCCCCTCCTTCTCTCTCTTGGGGATATGTATTATTCTTTTCTCATCCTTTGATTCCGGGCTGGAGGGAAGAAGCGGGATGCCCCCCAGCTTGCCCCTGCAACGCCAGGGAGGGGTCCATTTGTAACAGTAGAGGACGCTAAGGTCAGGACAAGATCAAAATCGCATCTGTGAGTGTATGGTTAATGGGTGCAGACCCAGACATGCCAGGTTTGAGGAAAAGTCGTCAAAGTTGCCCCTCGGCTGGTGTCCTTTCCAGTACTTCCCCAGCCTTTCAGCGTTCCCTGGAAGAGTCTTGGGCACGAACTGGATAGCCGAGCTCTGTTCGGACAGGCAGGAGAGAACAACCTTATGCAGCAGAGACATCCTTATGGAAGTTCTTGTCTTGAAACCCCCTGTTAAGGACCAGTGAGATCTAGGTCTCTGCTTCTAGGGATGTCAAATAGGTGTTGGGGTTCCGTGCACATGTGGTCTCTCCTTCGTTCAGTGTGCCCAGCGAATGATGTGGGCAGCTACTCCCAAGCTACGGGTATGGGTTGAGAAGACACTGTACTGGCACCTGAGGGTGGATGGGTTTGTGACACAAGGACAGTGGAGGACGAACGTCCACCCAGTTATGTTTAAAGAAACCCAGACCCTGTCGGGATTCGAACCAAAGTGACAATTGAATAGGCTCCCCACACTCCTCTCCCATTCCCAGACAAGAGAGTAGGTGCCGAGGCCACCCTCACTGGCGGTTTCGTGAAAGTTTAGACAACAACCCAGCATAGATTTATGAAGGCTTGTGCTTGCTAGGTCTCAGCGTGATACTCGAAAAGGGTCGGTGAAACCATCTTTGTAGTCTTCTTCCTTTTGGGTTAGCAGCGCCTTTTAGAAAAGCCATCTGAAGTATTAAGCCTGTCACACCATGTGCTGTTATGTAAGCAAAAGCAGATGACAGAGGTGTGTGGGTTGCGAGGGTGTGCTCTGTTTGTGGGGGCAGGTGTGTGAATCATTGGGATCCCCACAGGCTTTGCCTGGACTGGAGGCCCTGTCACCAGGGCATGTGCTCTGTGTCTAAATGCCGGCCGGCCGGCGTCTGCTGGCTCCTAAGTGGTCCTGGTAGCCAGGCTTGCACGGTCCTCCATTGCTTGCATTTTGGTCTCCACGCAAAGGGAGTTTCCCACCTGAGTTGTTCTCTTAGTTACTCACACAGATCAGATCCAAATGGATCTTTCTTTTTATATTTTCAGTTTCTAAAAATAGGCAGGCGGTGGGGAGTGGGGTAGCTCTAGGGAAGTATGCTAGGACACAGGCAGTTCTACTTATGATGGTCTGTCTGGCTCTTAGGGGAACAGGAGCTAGATTCAGCCTAATTTAGGAGCTGTAAGTTGCCGGGGGTGGGGGGCATGGTGGGGAGGGGTCGGTAGGGTAGGGTGTGTTATTATGTGAAGTACATTGTGGGTCTGGGCGTCTAGGCTCAGAGAGGCTCCTGGGTCATTGGTATTCATGAGGCTCCTTATTGGGTAGGGCTGGGAAGCCAAAATTTGCAAGGGAAATCTCTTCTGCTTGCCTCTTGGCAGGGGTCATTCTCTCAGCCTCTCTCCTGGAAAAGCATTCTATTGGGACAGCAGTGGCGGTTCTCTGGCTGGTGTGTTCCCACAGGCACATGGACATGTACACACACACACACACACACACACACACACACACACACAGAGAGAGAGAGAGAGAGAGAGAGAGAGAGAGAGAGAGAGAGAGAGAGAGACGTGCAAATGTCAAGAGAGGAATAGCACAGGACACTGGCCTGTCTTGAACCCCGCAGTGGCGGGTTTTATTTCTTGGATGCTATTTCTCTTTAAATGAAGCCTCACCATTTCCAAGGTAGTGACACTTGGCACACATAGCACCTCAGGTGGCCGGTCAGACTGTTGGCTATCTATCCCCAGGTGCACAGTTTCCACTGTCTGTGGGGGAGGAGGTTGTCACACTCCTTAGGTGATGCTTAAGCATCGCTACATGAGAGCTGCTGTCTCAGAGGCACAATAACTGACCCTTGAACTCATAAACCGCCCAGCCAAACCACGCCACGCAGCCTCAAAGGCAAGAAGGGCAGAGAGTGGTCATCTACCTAGCATGGGTTTATCCTGAGTAGTCTCTGCATTTTGGTCACTGCTATTTATCTATTTTTAGAATCAGAGCATCTACCTGTTTGCCATGGTGGCCCTTTGCGGAGCCGCACCTGATGGTTCCGAGAAAGGGTTGTGAGAGACATGTGAAGAAGGAACAATTTGGTCTGGGGTTGGGTCTTGGCTCCTCAGGAGACACTCCACTGCCTCCACCCAACCCTCAGGGGACTGGTGGGAGTTAATGGAGAGGAGTCAGGGAGGCCCCGGGGACTAGATTCTATGCAAAAGTGTGTATCTGGAGTAGGAGGTACAGCTTTCATGTAAGGGATCATTTGAGGTGGTGAAGGAGATTTTCAAGCAGGTGGGAATATCTTGAAGAGCATGAATATTTGTAGAATGAAAGTTGGTGTGAAAGAAGGGGGCTTTGGAGGAGTGTGTGTGCGCGCGCGTGTGTGTGCGTGTGTAGGGAGGGTCTCATCTGCTCCTCTTGTTGCTAAGGAACATATAAGCTAGAGTTTAAAAATAAATGGAGAGTGGGTGGGCATATGCAGTGACTCCTGTCTTTTTAGGAACCAGAGCCCTTTACAAAAAGCCTTTAAATAACCATTTCTGGAGGCAGATTATTCATTTTGCTGACTTTTACTTTGTTAAGTAAAATAAACTCCTTTATATACCCCTAGACTTCCCCTCATTATCTTTCCTCTGTTGGCTGTTCTTTTTGGGGGGATGATTTTCCCATGAGAATTTTTTCCTTTATCTCAGAATCTGCACCCCAAGAGCAAATAGTCCCCGTAGACTGTAAAGCGAAAGGATTTAGCAGGCAATGCAAGCGATCTGGCGCTTTTCTGTTAAAATTACTACTTCCTTTTTCTTTGCAAATTATGGTGCTGTAACAGATACATATGTGTAAATGACTATATAATATGTAGGAACTGTTTTTTTTAAACTGCTGCATTTAAAGTCAGTAAAATGGAAAGGGGGGAAAATCCCAGAAAGACACAGAGAAGGAGAGAGAGAGAGAAGGAGCTGACATTGACGGTGCTTGTCAGAGTACATTGTATCTTCTTGTGTGTGTGCATGTGTGTATACGAGTGAGTAACACGGGTGGGGGTATATGTGTGTATATGTGCATGTACATGTTAACGTGTGTGTGTGTGTGTGTGAGAGAGAGAGAGAGAGAGAGAGAGAGAGAGAGAGAGAGAGAGAGAACGCGCGCGTGCACAGGTGTACGTGGAGAGCTGAATTTGGCATTGCCTTTTTTAAAATCTCTCTTAGTGAAGAGAGGCAGGATCTCTCAGTGAACTTGGAGCTGTTTGTTTCTGGCCAGTCTAGCTAGCCAGCTTGCTCCAGGAATAAATACCCTGTCCTGCCTCCCAAGCTCTGGGACTGCAGGTGGCCACTGTACCAGCTCAGCTTTCAAGTAGTTCTTGGATCTGAACTCTGCTCCTCACGCTGATAGGGCAAGAGCTTTATCTACTGAGCCTCCTCCCCAGACTTGTATATGGCATCTTATTTGAGCTTCATGGTGGTCCTACGATAAGACTGGACTATTTCTGCTGTGTAGAAAATGAACTTGAAGCATGAGGCTTGGACTGGAAGCAGATCTGACTCTAAAGGACTTCCTCTTTAGAGTGCATCTTTCTGGTTGGTTCCTTAAGAGTCCGTGTTAGGTTTGAAGTCTTTTTTTTTTTATTTTCCAGTTTAAATTTAGATAAGAAACAAGGTTGCTTCACAAGTCAGTTCCAGGTCCCTCTCCCATTCCCTCCCTTCCTCCCGTGCCCTCCCCCCCCCCCCCGTTATCCCCTCATTTCTCCAGGGAGGGTGAGGCCCTCCATGGGGGTGTGCATAGTGTGTCCGGTTTGAAGTCTTTCCATGTGTGTATACATGGACGTGTGTGTATGTGTGTGTGTGTGTGTGCGCGCGCGTGCTTATACACTGACTTTTCACCCCACCTACAAGAATACTGCAGGTCTCCCTGCTCTTTTCTCCCTCCCTCTCTCCTTCCCTCCCTCCCTCCCTGTCTCCCTCCCTCCTTCTCTTTCTTCCTTTTATTGAGACAGGCTCTCTCTGCACAACCCTGGCTGTCTTGAAATGCACTATGTATACACTATGTAGACCAGGATGGTCTCAAACTTACAGAGGCCCACCTGCCTCTGCCTCCTGAATGCTGGGGTTAAAGGCGTGCGTCACCACACCCGACTCTCCTCCTTCTGTGTTTTGTTCTTTGGGCTGAAGCTCTTTGCCTTGGTCTCTAGGGCTAGTGCCTTCAGAAACCCTCTACTGTTTCAGAATTGGAAATGAATATAAATTCATGAACCTCCGCAAACTGTTTGGTTTTGCTTCTGAGAACAAAACCACCTCCGAGACACCTGCTATCCCCACGAAGACACCCATGATAGAAGTTTACGCACTTTTAAAATAATTTCTGCAGGTGCTATGTAGGTGCAGCAAGGCTTTACTGCAAAGCTGCTGCCTTTCCTCTCTGGGCGACACACAGCGAAAGAGAAAGTACAAGTTTGTTTGTAAGGAGGCCCTGACACTTCCCATGACTTATGAAGTCTCCATGCATGGGCTTAAGTTTCTTCATGAAAGCCACGGTGGTCACACTTGACCTTTCTCACAGGAAGTTTCTGGTATAATATAGAAACAATGGCAAGGAGCATGGGACCTCTTAGAGTAGACAGCTGGTGGAAAAGAGGCATCATTCCTTGA